TGGAATTTAGGCCATCCTGATTAGTTCTTCAGGATGGCCATCCTGACATGTGCCATTTAATTGATTTCTCTTAAGGTTCAATTTCATGTAGTGAAGTAATTTGGAATTTAGGCCATCCGGATTAGTTCATCAGGATGGCCATGCTGACAAGTTCAGCAAAGGACCAGCCCTGTGGCCCTTAGCCAGTAGTTTAACATTTCTTAAAGTTGTTTCTTAAAGTGAATCAGACATAAGTCATTCCCTGAGGAAGTCTGCTATGCCAATTACTGTAGCCATTTTCATTATGTAGAAATAAGAAAAATTCAGCAAAGTGCAAACTAACATAAGCTTTGGAACTAGTTAATTACTCAAGAGTTTGGGATTTTGAAGTAAGGAGAGCGTGCTGAAAAAAACAGGCAATATCCAATGGGCTCTATTCAGAAAAGTTGGTTTCCAGGTCTTGGTTAAAGGCCCAGCTGTTTTGACCTCTGTCATGCCCTGGGTAGATGGGATAGAGCAGAAGAGGGAATCTACAGAGAAGGCTTCAGTTCCTACACAACTTGCTTAGGACTGAGTTCCATCTTCTTTGCCCTCTTAGCTTCTCCTCTGAATAGCAACAAACCTATACAGATAAGAGCATGTATGTCTGCCCAACGTCCCACATGCTTTGAAACAGATATACATGGATACTGAACTGCAAACACAAACACACTTACACAGACTCACACAGGCCTGCTGACCCACAGACACAAAGCAGGCAATGCAAACATGTCCACAGTCATGTGCATACAGGACCGCGTACACCTGTATTCCAGACTACTTGCATCTACAGAATTCAGTTTTATTCTGTCTATAGACTATATTGACAAAATATATACAGCCCTGATACTGAACGTAAATTCTTGGATATTGCAAGTACATAGGATGTTATTTCCTTCACTGAAGATCAAATCTTGCTATAATTTCCTTGATCTTCTGAGGCCTGAGAAAGTTGGCCTCAGAGATGCAGGTAGCTGAGAGGAACTGAACTACTTATCATAAAACTATCTTGGTTACAAGGCGGGGCTGGAATTCAGTATAATGCTAAGTCACTCGAGATATATCTGTTAATGTTTATGACACACTCCATGTGGTTACTTCTCGAGATATATCTGTTAATGTTTATGACACACTCCATGTGGTTACTTCTCGAGATATATCTGTTAATGTTTATGACACACTCCATGTGGTTACTTCTCGAGATATATCTGTTAATGTTTATGACACACTCCATGTGGTTACTTCTCGAGATATATCTGTTAATGTTTATGGCACATTCCATGTGGTTACTTCTCGAGATATATCTGTTAATGTTTATGGCACATTCCATGTGGTTACTTGAGGTTTCGGGTGATCTGAGGTTTAGGAGTGTGAGTGTCCCTGGTGGCTCAGTGGTAGATTATCCACTGGCCAGTTCAGAAGATGCAGGTCCAGTCCCTGCATTGGGAAGATCCCCTGGAGAAGAAAATGCCAACCCACTCAAGTATTCTTGAAATCCCATGGGCAGAGGAGCCTGGCAAGGCTACAGTTCACAGGGCACAAAAGAGTCAGATACAACTTAGTGACTAGCAACAGCAGGTTTAGGAATACAGGCTACAGGTTGAGCTGTGTTTATAGTAGGTGCATATGCAGAAGATTTTGGTAGATGAGCGATTTACCAAAGTAAGCACTATGCAAGATATGGAGGTGACTTTCATCATTACTCTTCTGCATATGCACCTACTATAAACAGCTCAAACTATAGCCTGTATTCCTAAACCAATACAGTATACTAACGCATGTATATGGAATTTAGAAAGATGGTAACGATAACCCTGTATGCGCGACAGCAAAAGAGACACAGATGCATAGAACAGTCTTTTAGACTGTGGGAGAGGGCGAGTGTGGGATGATTTGGGAGAATGGCACTGAAACATGTTTATTATCATACTTGAAACGAATTGCCAGTCCAGGTTCGATGCATGAGACAGGGTGCTCGGGGCTGGCGCACTGGGATGACCCAGAGGGAGGGGATGGGGAGGGAGGTGAGAAGGTGGTTCAGGATGGGGACACATGTGCACCCATGGAGGAGTCAAGTCAGTGTATGGCAAAACCAATACAATGTTGTAAAGTAATTAGCCTCCAACTGAAATAAATAGATTTATATTTTAAAAAAAGGGTGGGATGGGGAAGGAGGTGGGAGGGATGTGGGAGGGGATATAGGTAAACCTATGGCTGATTTCATGTTGATGTTTGGTAGAAAGCAACACAATACTGTAAAGCAATTATCCTTCAATCAAAAATAAATTTTTAAAAATAAAAAAAAAGTAGTTGTAAATTTCTGATGAAATTTTCATAGAAACCTTGTACTTACGTGTGGCCAAGCAGCAGTTTTAGCTAAAGCAAAGATTAAAAATTCAAGACATAGTAAAAGCAGACCGATCACTGCACTGCAGGCACTCAAGATGTTCAGTACTATAGAATAGGTCATCTGAAATAGATCAAGGAATCACTAGGTCATTGGAAGTTAAGTATGTTCAAGTAGAAGATTTATATAAATTCTGATCTTTCCAGAATGGTAAGGTCATTAAAAGGACAGTCAAAACTTCAGATTTTTCAGAATATCAATAAGACTGAACTTTTTTTTTCCCATTTATTTTTATTAGTTGGAGGCTAATTACTTTACAATATTGTAGTGGTTTTTGCCATACATTGACATGAATCAGCCATGGATTTACATGTGTTCCCTATCCTGAACCCCCCTCACACCTCCCTCCCCACCCCATCCCTCTGGGTCATTCCAGTGCACCAGCCCCGAGCACTTGNATGGTCTCTGAACTCAAGGAGCTTTCAGACTAATGAGGAAGACAAACAAGTGCATGTTAAATGTGAATAGAATATTAGAAAGAGGTTAACTATAAGCAAATCCAGAGTGCCTCCCAGGGTCAGATTAACAGAGAGTTAATATTCCAGGAGTTTGCCACAGTTCATTTTATAGGGCAAAAAAAGGGAGCTGAGGGAAATTGTTAGACATATGCTATCTAGATAAGAGATTTAGGGTTTTATCTTGAAAAATAGTGGGAAATTACATTGCTGGGCTGGCCTACTCGGGTTTCAGGCCATATTCTTCTCAGACTATTTACTCAAGACAGTATCTATGTAAAATGTTGCTGCATAATTACATTTTGTTCATATATGACGTCAGAGAGGTGCTAAGATGTGATATGTCTATAGGAGACATTATCTTATTCCTATTTTATTGTTCTAATTTGCATCAGTAGGATTTATTTTTATGTTACATAAATTAGATAATGAGCAGGATAAACTAATAGATTATGAAACTTATTTCACCAGATAGATCATATGTTTATCTACGTTGCTGTACATGGTTATACAGTGATCTCAGTTTATTCTTTTGGGAAAAAAATCTGCTTTTAAAAAGACAATCACATTGAAATAATGTATTCATTATTTCACTTTTATAATCTAGATATTAAAAATCATTGCTTAGTAAATTATAGTATAGAAATATAATTCAATCTTGATTTTTAAAACTGGACTATATTTGCTTTAAGGTGTTGTGTAGTTTCTGCTGTACAACAACCGGACTCAGTTACGCGTATACACACATCCCCTCCCTCTGGGGCCTCTGTCCCCCTCCCATCCCACCCCTCTGAGTCATCGCGGAGCTCTGAGCTGAGTTCCCTGGCCTATACGGCAGGTTCCCAAGAGATTCTACGTGTGGTCGTGTATATGCGTCAGTGCTACTCTCTTAATCCATCCCACCCTCCTTCCTCCACTGTTTGGACGTCTGTCCTCTAATATGGGTACTATTCCTGTCCTGCAAGTAGGTTCATCAGTACCATTTTTTTTTTAGATTCCATGTATATGCATTAATATACAATATTTGTGTTTCTCTGACTTACTTCACTCTGGCTGACAGACTCTAGGTTCATCCATATCACTACAAATGACCAATTTTGCTCTTTTTATGACTGAATAATATCCCACTGTATATATGTTCCACATCTTCTTTATCCAGTCATCTGTCAGTGGACATTTAGGTTGCTTCCATGTCTTGGCCATTGTAAATAATGCTGCAATGGACATCGAAGTACATGTGGTCTTCTTGAATTATGGTTTTCTCAAGGTATATGCCCAGTGGTGGGATTGCTGGGTCATATGACAGTTTTATTTTTAGTCTTTTTTAAAAGAACCTCCATACTGTTTTCCATAGTGGTTGTATCAATTTACCTTCCTAAGAGGAATTTACAAGAGGGTTCCCTTTTCTTCATATCTTCTCCAGCATTTATTGCCTGTAGACTTTTGATGACAGCCATTCTGACTGGTGGGAGATGATATCTCATTGTAGTTTTGATTTCCATTTCTCTCATAATGAGCAATGTTGGTCATCTTTTCATGTGTTTGTTGGCTACCTGTATGTCTTCTTTGAAGAAACATCTGTTTAGGTCTTCCACCCATTTTTATTTTTTTTTTTTTTGACTAGGATGTTTGTTATTTTTTGCTATTGAACTGCATGAACTGCTTGTATATTTTGAAGATTAATCCTTTGTTTGCAAATATTTTCTCCCATTCTGAGCATTGTCTTTTAAGTAATGTTTATGGTTTTCTTGCCTGTGTAAAGGCTGTTAAGTTTAATTAGGCCCCCTTTATTTTTGTTTTTATTTTCATTACTCCAGGAGGTGGGTCAAAAAGGATCTTGCTGGGATTTATGTCAAAGAGTGTTCTGCCTATACTTTTCTCTAAGAGTTTTAGAGTGTCTTGTCTTACATTTAGGTCTTCAATCCATTTTGAGTTATTTTTGCATATGGTGTTAGGTAGTGTTCTAATTTCATTTTTTACATGTAGCTGTGCAGTTTTCCCAGCACTTTTTATTGAAGAGGCTGTCTTTTCTCCATCGTATATTCTTGACTTGTCATAGAGTAGGTGGCTGTGTGTGAGGGTTTGTTGCTGGGCTTTCTGTCCTGTTACATTGATCTGTATTTCTGTTTTTGTGCCAGTGCCATACTGTCTTGATTACCGTAGCTTTGTAGTATAGCCTGAAGTCAGGGAGCCTAAATCTTCCAGTTCTTTTTATCTTTATCAAGACTGCTTTGACTGCTTGGGGTCTTTTTTGTTTCCACACAAGCTAAACTTTTTTGTTCTAATTCTATGAAAAGTGCCATTGGTTATTTTTTTTAGAATTTATTTTGTAATTGAAGGATAATTGCTGTACAGAATTTTGTTGTTTTCTGTCAAACCTCAACATGAATCAGCCATAGGTATACATACATTCCCTCCCTTTTAAACCTCCCTCCCATCTCCCTCCCCATTCCACCCCTCTAGGTTGATACAGAGCCCCTGTTTGAGTTTCTTGAACCACATAAAATAGACTTATGGACATGGGGAGAGGGGAGGAGAGGGTGAGATGTATGGAGAGAGTGACATGGAAACTTACATTACCATATGTAAAATAGGTAGCCAATGGTAATTTGCTGTATGGCCACTGGTTATTTGATAGGCACTGCACTTAATTTGTAGATTGCTTTGGGTAGTATAGTCATTTTCATAATATTGATTTTTCCAATCCAAATCATATTTGGTTTCTTTCATCACTATCTTATAGTTTTCTGAGTATGAGTTTTTTGCCTTCTTAGGTAGGTCTATTCATAGTCATTTTATTCTTCCTGTTGCAGTGGTAAATGGGATTGTCTTCCTAATTTCTCTTTCTGATATTTTGTTTACAGTGTATAGGAATGCAAGAGGTTTCTGTGTATTAATTTTATATCCCACAGAATTACTAAATTTTAACTTTACTAAATTCATTGATTAGCTCTAGTAGTTTTCTGGTGGCCTCCTTAGGATTTTCTATGTATAGTATCATGTCATCTGCAGAGAGTGACAGTTTTACTTCTTTTCCAACTGGATTACTTTTATTTCTTTTTCTCCTCTGACTGCCATAGCTAGGACTTCCAAAACTATGTTGAATAAAACAGTGGCAAGAGTGGACAGGCACCCTTGTCTTATTTCTGATCTTACAGGAAATGCTTTCAGCTTTTCACCATAGAAAATGATGCTTGCCATGGGTTTGTCATATTTGGTCTTTATTATGTTGAGGTAGGTTCCCTCTTTGCCCACTTGTCTGGAGAGTTTTTTTGTTTTTTATCATAAATGAGTATTGAATTGTGTCAAAAGCCTTTTCTGCATCTATTAAGATGATCATACGGTTTTTATTTTTCAACTTAATATGGTGTATCACATTGATTGATATATGTATCTTGAAAATCCTTGCACTCCTTAGGATGAATCCCACTTGATGGTGTATTATCCTTTCAATGTGCTGTTGGATTCAGTTTGCTAGTGTTTTGTTGAGTGTTTTTGCATTTGTGTTCATCAATGATATTACCCTGTAATTTTCTTTTTTGTGTGATATCTTTGGTTTTGGTAGCAGGCTGATGGTGGCTTTGTAGAATGAATTTGGGAGTGTTCTTCCCTCTGTAATCTTTTTGAAGAGTTTGAGAAGGATAGGTGTAAGCTCTTCTGTAAGTATTTGATAGAATTTGCCTGTGAACCCGTGTGGTCCTGGACTTTTGTTTGTTGGAAGATTTTTAATCAGTTTCAATTCCATTACTTCTGATTGGTCTGCTCATATTTTCTTTTTCTTCCTGATTCAGTCTTTATAAGGTTGTACTTTTCTAAGAATTTGTCCATTTCTCCCAGGTTGTCCATTTTGTGGGCATACAGTTGCTTGTAGCAGTCTCTTATGATCCTTTGTACTTCTGTGGTGTCAGTTGTTAAGCTTCTCCTTTTTCTTTTCTAAGTTTAGTGATTTGGGCCGTCTCCACTTTTTTCTTGCATCTGGCTAAATGTTTATCAATGTTGTTTATCTTTTCAAAGAACCAGCTTTTCATTTCATTGATCTTTTCCATTGTTCTCTTAGTCTCTATTTCATTTATTTTTGCTCTGATGTTTATGATTTCCATTTGCGCTGAAATGCAATGCAATATCTTTTTCCATTCCCTCATTTTCATTCTGTATGTGTCCCTAGGTCTGAAGTGGATCTCTTGTAGACATCACATAAATGGGTCTTATTCTTGTATCCACTGAGCCAATCTTTCTTTTGTTTGGAACATTTAATCCATTTCAGGAAATTACCAGTATGTATGTTCCTATTAGAATTTTCTTAATTGTTTTGGTTTGTTCTTGTAGGTCTTTTCCTCCTCTTGTGTTTCCCACCTAGAGAAGTTCCTTTAGCTTTTGTTGGAAAGCTGGATTGGTGGTGCTGAATTCTCTTAGCTTTTGCTTATCTGTAAAGCTTTTGATTTCTCCATTGAATATTAATGAGATCCTTGCTGGGTAGAGTAATCTTGGTTGTAAGATTTTCCCCTTTCATCACTAAATATATCATGTCATCCCCTCTGGTCTGCAGAGTTTCTGTTGAAAAATCAGCTGATAACCTACAGGGAATCCCTTGTATGGTATTTGTTGCTT